GAGAAAGAGGTATTGAGTTTGGTCACAGACAAGTTGACAGTTTTGCAAAAACTTTAAGGAGACAGTTGGAAGCAAGGCCCCAGATAGTTACTGGAACTGAAAAAAAAAAAAAATCTTAGGTCAATGCTATCTATCACAGATTAGAGCTCTGAAAAATAATTTCTCCTGAGGGAAATTTGTAGATAAAATACAAGAACCAGTCCATAAAGAATGACAGAAATAAGAGTCACAAGATGAAAGAGGAGCCCACAAGGTGACAGAGAAGTACAGAAATCAAGCATTTTAAAAGGATATAATGATAAATGATAACTGTATGAATTATAATCAAAAATGATACTTGAAGATAAGATACAATAATGGGTGTGATGAAATATAATTGGCACATTCAAATTAAACACATAAATAAAATTATATTATAACTATAGATGCTAGGTACCACAGAATATTTTTTTCTAAGATAGAGTTATGGATCTCAAAATATGTTATGAAAACAAAGTACAGTAAGTAAAAAATGATCAGATCATAAGCTAGAGTATCACAAATACCCAAATATAAACACAAATTCCCGCATCTTTGATCAAGATGGGTGACATTCAGCCAAGTGTCCATGGTGGGTTCAATTAAGGAAAAAAATTAAAAATTACCTCTACAAGATAAAGAGACAAGAGTAAAGAAGGGAGGAGTAGTAAAGTATTTTTGAATGTCAGAAACATCAGGGGGAAAGTCTTAGGGAAATTCGGGATTTTCAGAAAACAGCTAGTAGCTCTGTTGGTCACATAGAGTATACGTAACACAGTAGCTATTGATATTTTTGAACAAGTTAAGTTGAGACCCTCTAATTCTAGAGCAAGAAAAGTTATACTTAATATGTTGGATGAAAAACTATGCAAGATTTTTTAGCCAGTAAGTGGCATGATCAGGACAGCCCCTTAGTAACATGTATGTGACAGTTAAGGATAGGAAAAGGAGAATAGGATTGAGCAGGGATAAGCTGGGATGGGAGTTCTCATTAGGAAATCCAGCCATGGCAATAGTGTAGGTGGCCTGAACTGGACAAGTCACAGTAGAAATGAAAATATACAGAGAGCTAGCAAACCTGGGCAGAAATGAATGTCAGTGTGTAATTACTGGCAAATGACAGTGGGCCCTAAGGCTAATTCCCTATCTCCAGTGCCACTTTCTTACTTAGTAAAAATGGATTATGGTGTTTTGCTTCCACCTGTCTCAGAGATGCTGTCAGAATTGATTATGCATATTTCTCCAAAGTAATCTAAAGTGCTCTAATTCTTTGGAACCGGACACTATGTAAATACGATTATTCATTACTTGTAAAAGAGGAATACAGAATGATGGATGTGCCTAGCCGACATGAGAGAACCGTTTAAGAATATTGAGAGGGAAATAAGCTAAGTAATCAATATCATGTTTTAATGTGGAGAGCTAAAGACATTGATAGTAGGATATTGAATGAAAAGGAAATAGATGTGGATAATGCATTTGGGAGTTAAGACAGATAAAAGGCGGCTGTGTTACACTAACTAATTTCAAGAGAAAAAGTGAGTATTTTAGGTTCTGTTCAGTGTTATGAAGTAATAAGGAAAAAGTTTAAAATGAAAATTAGAGGTCATTTGTAGCATTTATGAAAGAGTTGAAAGAACAGTTACGCATGTAAATGTCCATTCCAAATTTTGCATCAAAAGTGATCAACACATACATAAACGCATTATAGAATGACATTTTATTTCAAAGACAAGTCACTAGAATTAC